CGAGCACCGGGAGGAGTCCGCGCACGAGGGCCAGGCAGTGTCAGCCCCGTACCTATGGAAGTGAAACCACCCTTCGGCAGACACACGACGACGACGACGACGACGACGACGACGACGACGACGACGACGACGACGACGACGACGACGACGACGACGGCGGCGGCGACGACGACGACGACGACGTTAAAATCGGTCCTTGGAACCCTAGCGGTCCTTGGACCTTGAAAATCGGTCCTTGGACCCCTAGCGGGGTCCATCCGACGCAGCATATCTCACTGGATCCGCTTTGGCCCCGGAGCTCGACAATGTCCCCTGGAGGCCGAAAAGGGCGAACAAACCTCCTCGAACAAGGGCTGGACCGTCTCAATCCACCAGCCCGCTCCAAGGCGCGGGCGGTCCCACTGGGACCTTCGGTGGGGCTCCCTATGGGGCCACGAAGCGTGTGGAGGGTGTGCCGACATGTGTGTACGGGACGCATGCGGGCGGTCCCAATGGGACCTTCGGTGGGGCTCCCTATGGGGCGACGGAGCTCTGTACTGGGTGTGCGGGACGCATGCGGGCGGTCCCACTGGGACCTTCGGTGGGGCTCCCTATGGGGCCACGAAACGCTATACTGGGTGTGCAGGACGCATGCGGGCGGTCCCAATGGGACCTTCGGTGGGGCTCCTTATGGGGCCACGAAACGCTATACTGGGTGTGCGGGACGCATGCGGGCGGTCCCACTGGGACCTTCGGTGGGGTTCCCTTTGGGGCCACGAACCGCTGTACTGGGTGTGCGGGACGCATGCGGGCGGTCCCACTGGGACCTTCGGTGGGGCTCCCGATGGCGCCACGGAAAGCTGTACTGGGTGTGCGGGACGCATGCGGGCAGTCCTACTGGGTGTGCGAGACGCATGTGGGCGGTTCCACTGGAACCTTCGGTGGGGCTCCCTATAGAGCCACGAAGCGCTGCACTGGATGTGCGGGACGCATGCGGGCGGTTCAAGTGGGACCTTCGGTGGGGCTTCTTCTGGGGCCACGAAACGCTGTACTGGGTGTACGGGACGCAATCGGGCGGTCCCACTGGGACCTTCGGTGGGGCTCCCTATGGGGCCACGAAGCGCTGTACTGGGCGAGCGAAACGGGTGATGATGATGATCATAATGCTGATACTGATGATGATGCTGATGCTGATGATGATGCTGATGGTGATGATGCTGATGATAATGATGATGATGATGGTGGTGGTGATGACGATGACGATGACGATGACGATGACGATGACGATGACGATGACGATGACGATGACGATGATGATGATGATGATGATGATGATGATGATGATGATGATGATGATGATGATGATGATGATGATGATGGGAGGAGGGAGGAGTGCGAGGAGGAGAAGAAGAAAACGCGGGGGACCGTTCAAAACGAGGACCCAACACCACAGGATGGTTGGGAGCAAATGCCCTCAAACGAATCAAACCTAGTGCAACAACCGTCCCCATCAGATGTTCAAACACAATCTTCTTGAATCTTCCTCCTGTAGAGGGTCAGGCCCGACCTAAGGGTACCCGAGGGGGCGCGCGCGCACCCGCTTGGAGACCACCCCGGGCTGCACCAACCGCTTCAGCAGCACGACCTCCTCCTGCGCCTCGCCGTCGTCGACGTCCTCGTTCCGCGGGGGGCAAGAGTGACCCTGGGCAAGAGTGACCTCTGGTGCACGGCTCTTTGGGGGCGGCGGGGTGACCAAGCACGAGCGTGCAAGACGCTACTATCGCATCGCATTCGGCAATCGGGGGACCCCGTTGAGCCTCGGGGATCTTCTGACCAGGGTCACTGCAGGATCCTGCAAGATCCTGCGCCCAAACCCTGGTCAACGCGAAGGATCCTGCAAGATCTTGCACCCAAACCTGGGTGAATGCGACCCTGGCTCTGCAGGAATCCCACCAGCCCTTTGGGCGTGAGTGGTTTAGAGAGCCCGCTCTGTCCTCAACCCCCCATCTTCCCCTTCGGGGAGGGGTTTACCCCTCCCCCTACCCCCTCCCCCTGGACCTGGACGGGGAGTCCGGGGTGGTGTCAGGGGGGTCTTATTCGACTACTGGGAGGGCCAAAAAACGACGACCCTCACGAGGATTCTGGCCCCGAGGGGGGAGGGAGTTTGGCCCCTCTCCTCTTCTGTGAAGTTTTACTAGGGTTTTGGCCCCCATTTTGGGCTTCTGAGGGGGCAGCGCTCATCGTCCTTCATAGCAAAATCATTGGCTTTACGAAGGTTTTGGGCTCATTTTGTCTTTCTCGGGGGGCAGCTCTCATTTGCGCTTCTGAGGAGGTCGCAAGAGGCCCCAAGATGGCCCCAAGAGGCCCCCAGGAGGCTCCCAAGAGGCCTCCAAGAGGCCCCCCCAGAGGCCCCCAAGCGAGCCCCAAGAGGCCCCCAAGAGGCCCCCAAGAGGCCCCCAAGAGGCCCCAAGAGGCCCCAAGAGGCCCCCAAGAGGCCCCCAAGAGGCCCCCAAGAGGCCCCCAAGAGGCCCCAAGAGGCTCCAAGAGGCCCCCAAGAGGCCCCACGAGGAGCCCGAACGACTCACACCAGGACGAGGGGCCCGAACGACTCACACCACGAAGAGCCCGAACGACTCACACCACAAGGAGGGGCCCGAACGACTCACACCAGGACGAGGCGCCCGAACGACTCACACCACGAGGAGCCCGAACGACTCACACCACGACGCGGGCCCCGAACGACTCACACCACGAGGAGCCCGAACGAGTCACACCAGGAGGAGGGGCCCGAACGACTCACACCAGGACGAGGGGCCCGAACAACTCACACCACGAGAAGCCCGAACGACTCACACCAGGACGAAGAGCCCGAACGACTCACACCACGAAGAGCCCGAACGACTCACACCAGGAAGAAGGGCCCGAACGACTCACACCAGGACGAGAAACCCCAAACGACTCAAATCACGAGGAGCGCTTCTCTCCCTCCTCCTCCGCCTCGTCCTTCTCCCGCTCCCCCCACAAGGAGGATGTACAAGGAGGCGGGAGGAAGGAGGAACAGGGGAGATATGCGGGGCCAAGCGGACACACGCCTGAAAAACACGACTGTCGGCATGCTTCGCAAGAGTTGCTGCTGTGAGATGGGCTGGTGGGGATACGCGAAGCGTAAAGAATTTCTGCAAGATCGGGCGCTCTGGCTGACCCCTGCTTGCATTGAGCCCCGTCTCTTCAGTCCCGAGAGCCCGCACCAGAGGTCACTCCGGCGAAAGAACACTCTTGCGCCTAGTCCACCGTCCTCCCTCCCGCGGGGCGGCCGGGCCGAAGGAGCGAGGCGCAGTTTTGCGGGCGCGGCCACGCCCGAGCGTGCGTGCGCGAGAGGACACGGCCCCCAGCGCAGGACGAGCGTGCACGCCTCCTCCTCCTCCTCCTCCTCCTCCTCCTCCTCTTCCTCCTCCTCCTCTCCTCATCTCCTCCTCCTCCTCCTCCTCCTCCTCCTCCTCCTCCTCCTCCTCCTCCTCCTCCTCCTCCTCCTCCTCCCCCTCCTCGTGCAAGCCTCGTGGGTCGGCGTTGGGCCCCCCTGGCGGCGCCTTTGCTGGCGCGCTCCGCGCGCCAGGGGGGGTGGCTGGGGGCCCGAAGTAGCAGACAGAGGAGGATGAGAGACAGAGTGCGGCCCCGTCCCCCTGAGGGTGATGTGGGAAGAGGTCGAGAGCATCCAGAGGATGATGAGAACGAGGGGGAGGAGGAGGAGGAGGAGGAGGAGGATTAGGCGGAGGAGGAGAAGGAGGACGTCACGACTGGGCACAAACGGGAGTCGACGGTGCTCGCGAAGTCCGCCTCTGATGATGTGGCCATGTCGATGGTGGGTATTGAGATGCCGATAATTATCGAGATGGCTTGGTGATGAAAGGTGAAGTCAAAAACGGCGATGGAGACTGCGATGGTGGTGATGATGACACTTATGGTGGTCGCGGTAGTGGCAACGGTGGCATTGACATGGTCAGTGTCAGTAATGGTGATGATGACGATGATCGTATCGCTCCGACGAGACGCCTTTGCCAGATTTGCAAACTTATTGTTTGGCCTGCGATAGTTTCCACGTGCTGTGTTTCAAGTTCGGAACAGGGGCAGGGTGCAGGGAAATAAGAAGATCGATTCAGAAGGTCAAGGGGCGCCAAAATCACACGAGGAAATACCCCCCAATGTTTGAATTCAACTCGAGAGTGAGAACGACGTTCGGCAGCTGCTCCACAATGATAAACAAGTTCGGCAGCCGCCTAACAATTTTACGTCAGGAGTAAGCAAGAAGCAGCTCCAACAACTGGTGACACAACTTCCAACATTGGGAAAATGATTACGTAGATGTAGTAACGACGTGGAAGCAAGTTTGAGATTTGTTCCAGCGATCTGCAATTTCTGACTTTGTTCGCGTCGCATTGTCCCCGGGTGCTTTTCAAACTTGTTGCTCACAGCGCAGTTGCCCCATGGATTTGCTTGACTTGAGCTTTGAAGCTGCGCTGCTATTTCAACTTTGCAAAACCTTGGACTTGAACCTTGGCCAGACCTGATTTCTCGACGGAGACGACCAGTGTGCCCGAGAAGCCCCTTGCCAAACCAGAAGTGCTGAGCCATGGATACGCTGATCACGGCGGTGCGTGATGGATTCGCCGATGGTGGTGGCAATGGCCCGCCCACTGATTCCGATAACTTTCACATTGGGGAGCCAGCTGGAGACGATGGCACTCTGTTTCAACTGGGCCTCTGTGAACCTCCACGTTGCACCTGGGAGGGGGGATCCGGAAACTCTTGAACCAAAAGGGTTGACATCTCTTGGGAGCGCACTTCAAAACGCGCCACCCAGAATTGGTATACTTCCGCCGGCCTCCTGTCGGCGGAGCCGCCCCCGTCTCCCTTCCGCCGGTTTCCACTGGCCCTCCGCCGAAGAAGAAATATCCGAGGCTCCGCCCATTCTCGAAGGTGGGGCCTTTTCTGGACAGCCGCCCGTGGGGGAACGAAAGCAGGTGCTACGTGCTGCCTCTGCTTGGAAAGCGTGGCGTCTCTGCTGGCGCCGCGCGGCGGGACGCGTGCCCGCGCCGGCTCCTCTCGTCCTCCCACAGCATCCAGCAGCAGGCCACGCCGGTTAGGAACGTGCACACGGCGCCGCCGGCGCAGTAGGTGCGGTAGCACGCCACGCCGGCGCACCCCGAAGGCACCTGGGCAAGCCTGCCCCACAGCAGCACGGCGATGTAGACCCAGAAATACAAGAGCCCGTATATCCGCCGGCCCCCTCGGGGGCGCCAGGTGGGGGGAGGAGGAGGAGGAGGAGGAGGAGGAGGAGGAGGAGGAGGAGGAGGAGGAGGAGGAGGAGGAGGAGGAGGAGGACGAGGAGGAGGAGGAGGAGGAGGAGGAGGCAGAGGAGGAGGAGTCGCTGCCCGGGTGCTACTGCTCCCCGTCTTGGCGCCCGCGGCGCCAAGAGCGATGAGCAGTACTGCCCGGCCGCTCTGCGGTTGATCAGGCGTTGCTGTGTCTGTAGGGCGTGCGCTTCTGGGCGAGAGGAGAATGATCGAGAGGAAAAGGTGCGCGAGGATAACGAGGGCGAGGCTCGCGAAGGGGAGGATCGGGAGAGCGAGGGTCAGGCGAGCGTGCGGCGAGGGGCCTGACCTCCTCGCGCGTCTTGCGAGGATGACTCGAGCGAGAGCCCTGCTGGGCCACGCCTGGGACGCACTGGCGCGCGCCCAGGAGATGGTCCAAAGCGCGCGGTGGGGCCTGATCTCTTCGTGCGCCGGGGGTTGACTTTGCGAGAATGTCCCGAGCGAGACAACTGCTGAGACACGCCTGACGCGCCCTGGCTCGCGCCCTGGAAGTGGTCCCTGGGGGCGTGGTGGGGCATGACTTCCGCGCGCGCAGGGGGTGAGGATGACGAGAATTCCACAGAAACTCCCTCATACTAGAACCCCAAACGATCTGGGAGGGGACCCAACTTAGGAGGGACACGAACATTAGGGCTATGGGGGTGAATTGCCTGCGGACGCATCAACCCAAGCCGCCCAGACTTACTACCCCGAAAGCGAAAACGGGAACCTAAGCGAGGCCACGTCTTCATTGTGTTATTAGGGTTAGGGGTTCTTCTTGTTCTCGATGAAAGAAAGAGTCGGCGGCGAGCGAAGGGGGGGGAAGTGAGAAGGAACAGGCCTTCTCAGAAGTCTCGAAAGTCCCGTCCTGCCGAAAAGTTTCCTGGGCCTCCCCCGAAAACGCAGAACGCTTCTTCTGAGGGCGCGAGGACTTCCGAGAAGTCCCGCCCCCTTCCTAGAAGGCCTCCTCCTTCTCACTTCCCCCCCCTCAACGAGAAACTGCACTTGGTGTATAATCTTAAAGTTACAGACGGGGCCTTCAAGGCGGAGTGGCGGGGCCAAAAGGCCAAAAGACACGCTCACCCGAGAGGGGCCGCCTAGGGCCGCCTCTCGCGGGGGCCCCGCAAGGCCACCCACCCGAAAGGGGCCACCTTGGGCCGCCTCTCGCCCACCCAGCGGGGCCGCCTTGGGCCACCGCCCACCGTGAACTCGACTGCGACTGAACACAGGAGTCTTCACTCACAGGCGAAACAGCCTACACACGGAAACAACCGAATGCAACTGCACGCCAACCAGTCAAGGCTGCCTTGGCCGCGGCGGCGGCCTCCAGCAGCGCTCCTGGAACTCCTCCCTGCATCAGTAAGCCCTCAGCTCGGGCTTCGACCACTGCCCTGTCGCCGAGTGTACGCTCCCTTTGCTGAAGCCATACCTCGGTGCGGGCCTCGGCGAGGCTAAGCAGCGCGTCCACTGCCGCGCACGGCCCGCGGGCCGCGGCCGCCACCGCTGCGAGGCAGACCTCGCTGAGGAAGCCCAGGGCAGCACCGTCGTCCGAGGCCGCGCCCAGGGCGGGCGCCGCCTCATCCTCTCCGCCGCCAGCATCTGGACCTCCCCCACTGAGCAACGCCGCGGGGTGCTCGAGGAGGTAAGCGGCGACGAACGAACTGCCCTCAGCGGGCGGCGCGGCGGCGGTGCACGCCGTGACAGCGTCGGCATCGGCCGCCCGCTCGCCAGCATCAAACCCATGCTCTTCCTCAATCGACTCCTCGAGGCAGGCCTCCAGCCCGCCCGAAACTTCTTCATGGGCGGCTGGCTCCTGCCCAAGCGGTGCACGACCTCGCAAGACATCGATGTCTCCCAGCAGCCGCTCGCGCACCCTGCTGGACGCCCAACTCGCGGCGGCCCCAGGCTCCACAGCAGCGGCGGCGGCGCCAACGCCCGCGACCAGCGAGGCTCGATCCAGGCGCGCACGTCGACGCACGAAAGGCTGATGCGGCGCCCCAGCACGTAGAGGGAGATCCACCACCTGCCTGTGAAACTCGACGAGCGGGACGAACTCCTCCGCCTCGGTCCTGAAAACACACGGCGCCGAGACTGAGGCGGTCTCCAGAGCACCTACGAAGAGCGGTTCCTTCACATCCTCGGTCTGCTTCTCGGCATTCCTCGGGGTCCCTGTGCTGCGCGGGGCTCCTCGTGGCGAGCCCAAGCCAGGCGCAAAAACGACAGCGCCGCACGAGCACCTCAAGCCCCCGCCCAGGAGAGACTCGCGCCGTACTCGACCAGCCGCCGCCTTGACCAGACTGGCGCTTGGCTCCCCAGCTTCGCCCCACGGCTCGTGACGGGCCCTGTCGCCCGCTGCCTTGATGGCCATGCCCTCCAGCAGAACCGAATTGGGCACGTCCATGAGGCCCGCGATCTCTCTCAGGGCATCGCCCAGCCTGTGCTTGTGATGCCCCAACTTCTCGTCGAGGCGCCGGTGCAGGAGCAGCGCCCTCCCCAATGCCTCCAGACGCGTACTCATATCCTGGACGAGGTCGCTCTCGAGGTCGAGGCTGTGGACTGCTACATGAACCGCTGCAGACACCAGCTGCGCATCGGCTCGCTGAGAGCGCTCACGTCGCAGCCGTCTGGCCAAATTGCTTGCAGATTTTCTCGCCCAGGTCTTGCCTGGACTCTCGCACGCTGACACATGCTCGGGCCGAGGGCCCCGCAGGTCTCCCGTCGCCATCACCCTCAAGAGGACACACCAGACAAGAACGAAAACCTCCTGCTGCACCGGAAGCGAACCAACACCACGCCGGCACGAGCAAAGGGGGCTGTCGCACGCTGCTGTGCGGCTTGAGCCAAAATGGCTACGGATTGGTGTATAAACTCCTGTTGTCTGTTCCGTGTTCTGCCCCCCGATGTGTCCCAATATCGCACCCAGAGGACCTGCAGAGCCTCCGACGTTGCCCAAGGCGATCCCGGTGTGCTTGCCAACCGCCCCTGCGCGCTGCTCAAGTCGCACAGGATGGCCAGCCAAGGCCCCAAGATTACCCCAAGATGCCCTCCAGAGGCCACACACTTTTGATCTGCGGGTCGAGAGCGAACCTCTTCCGATAGAAGCTAAGCGGGCCGCGCACAGCTTGAATTAGCAGAGGGGGGGCAAAAGAAGGCGGGGCCTCCCGTCAAGGCCGAGAGAGGGCAAAGCCCTGGGACCAGGCGGTGCCGAAGACGAAGTGCAGGAAAAGGTACGCCTTGGACAGGAGCCCGGCGGCGAAGCAGACACCACACACACACACACACATACACACATCGGCCCCAGAGGCCCCGAGATGGCCTTGATAGTATTACCCAGGATGGCCCGAGCGTTGCCACAGAGGCCCCACGCCGCCGCCGAGAGGTCCCAAGCTGGCTGCATGAGGCCACGAAGCTGTTCCGGCATATCCAGATGTTGCTCCGCCCGGGGTGCCCGCGGCAGAGGCCGCAGCCCTTCAGATGAGTCCGAGGTGCTCCGAGCCGAAGACGAGCTTGATGGCAGCGGGCACGATGCCCAACAGGCCGCCGTAGCCCAGAGCCATGAGCATGTTGGCGTTCCTCACCGCGTGCGCCTGTGGCTCGGGCACCAGCACCAGCCACAGCAGGCCCAAAAAGAACACGAAGAGGGCAAAGACTACGTACGTGAAGACGCCGCCAAGGCGGCGGCCCTTCGTGAAGTCGAGCGGTACGCAGGTGAGGATGCGCCCGAGGGCGTTCCAGAAGCCGAAGCGCTGCGCGAGGAAGGGGGCGCGCACCACGGCCTGCTGGGCGATCCTACTCTCCACGTCGAGGAAGCTGAAGCTGTAGCCGATGGGTCGAGTAGGGGATCGACTACAGAGTTGATTTACCCCAAACTTGATTTGTTCGAAGAATAATAGTCCCGCATATCTACGAAACATTATACGTCTACTTGAAGCTACTTGGTGACTTCGACCAGAAAACAGATCTAGGAAATAATCAATTCTGTAGCCAACCTCTACCCGAATGGGGGAAAAGGGACAGCAGGGACATGACGGCGAACTCCACGGAGAGAAACCTGGCCATGGACGAACTGCCCGCTAGCCTGCTCCGGGCGCTCCGCGCTTAGAAGAAGAATAGAAACAACGCAATAAAAATAAACTGTTGGGGCGCTCCGCGCGGATTTCTTGGGATCTGCGCTGGGCCTCTCCCTGGCGGCGCGAAGCGCGCGCCGGCGCGCCGCGCGCCATGGAGAGCCCAGCGCGGATCAAGAAGTCCGCGCGGAGCGCGCCGGTTATTTTTATGGGTCTTTTCCTTCTTCGGCTGCTGGCCTCTTCCGTGAGGGGCAGCGATAGGGGGGGACTGGCCTAGGGGGGGGGGGGGGGGAAACATCGACCTGGAATCGGCGTCGCATCGCCGATAGATCAGCGACAGGCCCCCGATGGTAAATCCGCACGTTCCTGGGCAGCTTGGGGCTATCATGCCGCCATCGGCGATCAATGGGCGATGGCGGGTCGATGCTATGCCCCCAGCATCCGGCCGCTCCGATCTTCCCGAGGCGTGGGCCCCGGAGGCCTGGACCACCTCCCCGGGGCCGGCCTTTCGTCCCGCGTCGTTCCTTGACGCTCCCGAGGCCCGGCGAGGGCCCCGATAGATAGATAGATAGACAGACAGACAGACAGACAGACAGACAGATAGATATATTGTGCATATATAGGAGACCAAAGAGCCTGCCAAAAGTTCGCCGCTCCCGAACGAAATGTTTGGAGCGTCGGAGCTCTGGGCCCAGCCCGCCCCACCGTTGCCCCGGATGCCGCCGCCGCGCCCTCGATCGCCAGGGGGGCCGCCCAGGACCCGGCCTCGACCGCCGCAGCGCCCGCGCGGGGCCCGCGCCCCGCGCGGGGCGGCGCGCCACGCGCGGGCGCGGCGCGCTCGAAGAGCGGGCGGCAGGCGTGGAGCGCCCACGTCATGAGGGCCCCGCAGGCGCCGGTGGAGACGCAGACGTAGACGAGGTACGACTCGATGCAGGAGGGAGCGCGTTCCACGGCTGGCCATCGCTCGGACGTCCATTCCCTGTTTTTTTGTTTCGGTTTCGTGCGTGGCTCTTGCGCCAAGTGATCGAGGAGGCTCCTTGATGGTCCTCGCCGAAGGGAAAATGCACACGTCCGAGCGATGCCAAGGCGGGGGCGGCCCCAGAGGAGATCCGACGCCCCAGCAAAACATGATGGACCCACGAACCCGGAAAGGGATATAGACATGTGGAGCATGGACACGTTTTCATGATACCCAACTGGGCAACACCTCACGAAACATCCCACGAGACACCTCACGAAACAGCCCACGAGACACCTCACGAAACATTCCACGAGACACCTCACGAAACATTTCACGAGACCCCCCGCGAAACATTCCACGAGACACCCCACGAAACATTCCACGACGACAGGCAACCACTCAACCAAGGCGGTGTGGTCGTGCTGGGGAGTGGTCGTGCTGGGGTGTGGTCGTGCTGGGTGCTGGGGTGTGGTCGTGCTGGGGGGGTGGTCGTGCTGGGGGGTGGTTGTGCTGGGGCGTGGTCGTGCTGGGGCGTGGTCGTGCTGGGGCGTGGTCGTGCTGGGGCGTGGTCGTGCTGGGGCGTGGTCGTGCTGTGGTAAGGTCGTGCTGGGGTGTGGTCGTGCTGGGGTGTGGTCTTGCTGGGGTGGGGTCGTGCTGAGGTGTGGTCATGCTGGGGTGGGGTCGTGCTGGGGTGTGGTCGTGCTGGGGTGTGGTCGTGCTAGGGTGGGGTCGTGCTGGGGTGGGGTCGTGCTGGGGAGTGGTCGTGCTGGGGTGTGGTCGTGCTGGGGTGTGGTCGTGCTGGGGCGTGGTCGTGCTGGGGTGGGGTCGTGCTGGGGTGGGGTCGTGCTGGGGTGGGGTCGTGCTGGGGACATCCTCAACAAATTATGAAAAACAAGCGTTTCGCTCGAGACATCCTGTCAAAATCCCAAGAAATCCAAATACCCGCGCGCGGGACGCGGCACGCGCGAGACATCCTTGGAATTCCTGCGCGAGGGGCGCTTTTCCGTGTCGCGGTCGGCTCTGCAAAACCAGCGTGTCGCTCGAGACATCCTCAACAAATTCTAAAACCAAGCGTTTCGCTCGAGACATCCCCAACTCTGCAAAACCAGCGTCTCGCTCGAGACATCCTCAACAAATTCTGAAAAACAAGCGTTTCGCTCGAGACATCCTCAACAATAATTTCGCCGGCCTCCTTCGACCTCGATATTTATCAGGGAAAAATTTCGCCGGCCTCCTTCAAGTTGGGCACCGGGGACATGTTTACATACTAAAAGAGAACCCTGGGCCGACGCCCTTTCCAGGAAAAAATGGGAGCGGCGGGGGCTCTCGGCAGCCTTGCGCCTCCTACATAGGACATCGGGGCCCTCGCCGGACCCCGGGGGGCGTCAACAAAACGACGCGGGACGAGAAAGGGGAATTAGTCCAGGCCTCCGGGGCCCACGCATCGAAACATGATCGACCCACGAACCCGGAAAGGAATATAGAACTGTAACACATGGCAGCGTTTTCAAAGACACCTGATTGGGTGACGGGCAAATGCAATGCTGAGTGTATCGATCTTGATGTACCCTGCCAAGGGCTGTGCTGTGCTGCGCCGTGCTGAATTGCGATGTGCCATGGCGCGACTGCGCTCTATAGCGTCGTGGATCGAGTCCTCCTTTGCATCCGAGTTCTGACCGAACTGATCTGGATCTTAAGCTCGAGCTGCCTGAACACATAGTAGCTGCCCCAGAGCTAATGGACAGGGGAACATGCCAGGAGGACGCGCCGCGAAACGTCCCAAGGGATGCGCCAGGCGACGTGCCAGGGGACGCGCCATGGGGTCGCACCGTAGGACGTGCCAAGGGGACGCGCTACGGAACGTGCCAATGGATGTGCCACGGAATGTGCCAGGGGACGCGCCCGCGACGTGCCAGGGGGACTCGCCAAGGGACGCCCCACGGAACGTGCCAAGGAACGCGCCAAGTTGCAATGCTGAGTGGATCGATCTTGATGTACCCTGCCGAGGGCTGTGCTGTGCTGCACCGTGCTGGATTGCGATGTGCCATGCCGCGGTTGTGCTCTATAGCGTCGTGGATCGAGTCCTCCTTTGCATCCGAGTCCTGACCGAACTGATCTGGATCTGAGCAACTCTTTTTTCACATTGCAGGGACACAGATCTGACGAAAGCCTCGAGACGCCCAGGCCAGAGGTCAGAGTCGATGCACGCTCTCACTCCTCCCAGGGTGGGAGGGTGGGAGCCGAAGACAGGCTATGGAGGGGAGAGCGGGGACAAGTGAGAGAAGGCATCCCGATGTTTAAACTTCCTTGGATCGTTTAGCAGGTACTGACATCACCGAATTCAAAAAGCCCAAGCTCAAACCGTTCAAGAACATATAGAGCAATTCTTTTTTCACATTGCAGGGACACAGATCTGACGAAAGCCTCGAGACGTCCAGGCCAGAGGTCAGAGTCGATGCACGCTCTCACTCCTCCCCAAATTTCCCGAGTACGGGAGTTCACTAGGGCTGGGTAGGGAGGGATGTTGAATTATATCCGAACGTGGCAACGCAAGAGGCAGTAAGTGCCCGAACTATACAGTGTGCGAGCTCGGGCGGGTAGGCAGCTGCAGGACGGGTGCGGGCGCTGCCTTCGAGTTGGAAATGAGGCAGGCCTGACCGCGAGCACTGCCCCGTCTGACCACTACATTTTCGGCAAAGATTCTTGAGATCGTCAACTGTCACGTGACAGAACATGAGGCGAGTTGACTTCTTACATTGGGCTTTGAATTGGCACTGGTCTAGTTCGACTAAGCTGACATGCGGCAGGTTTGCTAAGGCTTGGATTTCTGCGGCATGCCACAGACGAGAGGTGAGCGGGTGCTCAAGAACAGCAGGGATCTTGAGCTGATGGAAAAGAGCGAACAGGCCTATGGCGGCGTGGGCGATCCGATTGCCCACCTTGATTTTCTCTCGGTCTGGTGCACTGAGCGACTGGCTGGGCAAACCCCAAGGCATGTGCTTGGATCGGATCTTTGCCGTCCGATCTCGCGCGATTGAGAAGGTTTGGCACGAGGGGGCCAACGCTGCTGCCAGGATAAGGCCCCGGCGGGCGTCGCGTCGGATCGCCCTGAGAACCCTAGGATCGACAAGATTCTGCCAAACTGGGTCCTGGGCCACGTCCCAGCTGCGTGTCCTAAAGCCTAGCTTTTCACTTGCTCGCGAGATGCAACGGCTTCCCGCAAAAAAATCGGCGACATACCGGCCTCTGAGGCCGAAACGCTGCGCAGCGAGATGTCTCTCGCGGCAGCCACGGAAACTCCGCCTCAGCTTGGCACGCGCGACTGCCAGGTCAGCATTCGATGGCTGAATTGGACTGGGTGAGCATGGCCGAGCATGATCCTCATCAGATGGACCTCGCACGCCTCGTACAGGCGCCTCTGGTCCGCGGGAAAGCGCTCGTATTCGGCGCTCAGGCGGCTGCTGTGCTCGTAACGGTGCATGCTTTTCGCCTGAGCCCAGCAGCCGCGCCTCCGAATCTCCTCTAGGCTGCGAGTGCGTCTGCTGGCGTCGATGCTCGCGCCTGAGTGGCGGAGTTGGTACAGCGTCAGTTTGCCAGCCCCGATCTCGGCCGCCGCCAGCTGCACCGCTTGCGAGAGCTCCAGGTACGTGAAGGGCCACAGCTTGGTCCTGTCTCCGTGCCCTCGGAGCTCGGCGAACAGCGGACCCAGCCCCCGAAGGTAGCTCGAGTCCAGGAGGCAGCCCTCGTCGTAGCGATTCGTCTTGCTCGGTCGGCCCTCCTCCTGTGGGTGCGTTAGGAGGCTCCAGCTGTCCACTGTAGCACGCGAAGGCGGGACCAGGTCGCACTTCCGAGCTGCCAGCAGAGAAGAGGGCCTCGAGTAGGCAGAGAGGCCTACGGCGAGGAACAGGGCCATGAACGGGAGGCCCTTGCCCACCAGACGCCACATCACTGCCGACCACACGGCGAGCGGCAGCGCTCGGCGGGTGCGCGAGGGCGTCAGCCGCCTCCACGCCTTGAGCGCTCGCCACGTCCGCGGCAAGGCTCTTCCACCCCGTCGGCCAAAGGCCGGGTGTCGGTCGATGAGGGCGGCACCAGTCTGGTCTCCCAGGCTGCTCTGCTCCCCGGACAGGTACATCGCGGTGAAGTAGTCGCACACCCAACGATCCACGGTCTCGTCCGAGCTCCTCACGAGCTCGTCGTCGGTCAGGTCGGCATGAAAGTAGAAACGATCGAGATATTTGGCATAGCGCTCCCTCGTCCGACGAGTCACTGCCAGTCGCTCCAGCAAGGTGGGCCCGCCAGCTGCGGTCTGCATAATCATGTCCGCGTAAAGGGCCGCACGGCGCCGGCGTCGGGAGTCCTGGAGGCGCCGAGACCTCCTTGCGGCCGCAATCGCGTGGTTCACTAAACTGTCGGACCCACTCGACTCTCCACCCTTCACTAAACTGTCGGACCCACTCGACTGTCGATCACTCGATCGTGAAAGCGTGGGCTCTACAGACCCCCAAGAAACCCTCCAAGAGAACCCCGAGACACCCCACGCAAGGCTCTAAGATGAGACTTTGTCGTCGTCGTCGCCGCCGCCGCCACCGCGACGTCGTCGGATCGTGAAAGCGTGGGCTCTACAGACCCCCAAGAGACCCTCCAAGAGAACCCCGAGACACCCCACGCAAGGCTCTAAGATGAGACCCCACGCAAGGCTCTAAGATGAGACTTTGTCGTCGTCGTCGCCGCCGCCGCCACCGCGACGTCGTCGTCGTCGTCGTCGCGCTGTCCTCGATCACTCGATCGTGAAAGCGTGGGCTCTACAGACCCCCAAGAAACCCTCCAAGAGAACCCCGTGACACCCCACGCAAGGCTCTAAGATGAGACTTTGTCGTCGTCGTCGCCGCCGCCGCCACCGCGACGTCGTCGGATCGTGAAAGCGTGGGCTCTACAGACCCCCAAGAGACCCTCCAAGAGAACCCCAAGACACCGCTCCACGCAAGGCTCTAAGATGAGACATTGTCGTCGTCGTCGCCGCCGCCGCCACCGCGACGTCGTCGTCGTGGGCTCTACAGACCCCCAAGAGACCCTCCAAGAGACCCCCCACGCAAGGCTCTAAGATGAGACTTTGTCGTCGTCGTCGCCGCCGCCGCCCTGTCCTCGATCCCTCGATCGGGTAAGCGTGGGCTCTACAGACCCTCAAGAGACCCTCCAAGAGAACCCCAAGAGACCCCCCCACGCAAGGCTCTAAGATGAGACTTTGTCGTCGTCATCGCCGCCGCCGCCGCCACCGCGACGTCGTCGTCGTCGTCGCGCTGTCCTCGAGCCCTCGATCGTGTAAGCGTGGGCTCTGCAGACCCCCAAGAGACCCTCCCAGAGAACCCCCGGAGACCCCCCCACGAGAGGCTCTAAGATGAGACTTTGTCGTCGTCGTCGCCGCCGCCGCCGCCACCGCGACGTGGTCGTCATCGTCGCGCTGTCCTCGATCCCTCGATCGTGTAAGCGTGGGCTCTACAAACCGTCAAGAGACCCTCCAAGAGAACCCCAAGAGACCCCCCCACGCAAGGCTCTAAGTTGAGACTTTGTCGTCGTCGTCGTCGCCGCCGCCGCCACCGCGACGTCGTCGTCGTCGTCGCGCTGTCCTCGATCCCTCGATCGTGTAAGCGTGGGCTCTACGACGTGCCAAGGGACGTGCCATGGGGTCGCACCGTAGGACGTGCCAAGGGGACGCGCTACGGGACATCCTCAAAATTCCTGCGCGCGGGACGTGGCACGCGCGAGACATCCCCAGAATTCCTGCGAGCGGGACGTGAAAACAAACATTTCGCCTGAGACATCCTCTGAATTCTGGCCCCCCACGAGGCCCCCGCTCGAGACATCCCCAAGTTTGCAGAAACCAGCGTTTCGCTCGAGACATCCTCAACAAATTATGAAAAACAAGCGTTTCGCTCGAGACATTCGGTCAAAATTCTAAGAAATCCTGACAAAACAAACGAATTAGTCGAGACATCCTCGAAATTCCTGCGCGCGGGACGCGGCCCGCGCGAGACATCCTTGGAATTCCCGCGAGCGGGACACGAAAACAAGCATTTCGCCTGAGACATCCTCTGAATTCTGGCCCCCCGCTCGAGACATCTCCAAATTTTGCGGAAACCAGCGTTTCGCTCGAGACACGTGCCAAGGGACGTGCCATGGGGTCGCACCGTAGGCCGTGCCAAGGGGACGCGCTACGGGACATCCTCAAAATTCCTGCGCGCGGGACGTGGCACGCGCGAGACATCTTCCGAATTCCTGCGAGCGGGACGTGAAAACAATCATTTCGCCTGAGACATCCTCTGAATTCTGGCCCCCCACGAGGCCCCCGCTCGAGACATCCCCAAGTTTGCAGAAACCAGCGTTTCGCTCGAGACATCCTCAACAAATTATGAAAAACAAGCGTTTCGCTCGAGACATCCGGTCAAAATTCTAAGAAATCCTGACAAAACAAACAAATTAGTCGAGACATCCTCGAAATTCCTGCGCGCGGGACGCGGCCCGCGCGAGACATCCTTGGAATTCCCGCGAGCGGGACACGAAAACAAGCATTTCGCCTGAGACATCCTCTGAATTCTGGCCCACCTCGAGACATCTTTGCGAAACCAGCGTTTCGCTCGAGACATCCTCAACAAATTATGAAAAACAAGCGTTTCGCTCGAGACATCCGGCAAAATTTTAGAAATCCTGACAAAACAAACGAATTAGTCGAGACATCCTCGAAATTCCTGCGCGCGGGACGCGGCCCGCGCGAGACATCCTCGGAATTCCTCCACTGGCCCCCCACTCGAGACATCTCCAAATTTTGCGGAAACCAGCGTTTCGCTCGAGACATCCTCCACAAACTATGTAAAATAAGCGTTTCGCTCGAGACATCCTGCCCAAGTTCTAAGAAATCCTGACAAAACAAGCGAATTAGTCGAGACATCCTCGAAATTCCTGCGCGCGGGACGCGGCACGTGCGAGACATCCTCGGAATTCCTGCGCGCGGGGCGCTTTTCTGCGTCGCGGTCGGGGCTCCAGACCCCGTTATTTTTCGAGGATTCTGCGAAAAACGCTCCGCACCCTCTTTTTTACGAGGGAAAGCGGGGGTCTGCGGACCCCGTTATTTATCGTGGATCCGAGATGGGGGGCGAACTTTCCTCGAGCGGGCACGCACAAAACGCACTTTTTCTAAAAAAATCAGCACTTTACCTCGTTATTTATCGCAAATAATTTCGCCGGCGCTTGACCCGTCAGATCCGGGGGTAAACGGCTAAAAGAGAACCCTGGGCCCGCGCCCTTTCCGGGAAAAACTGGAGCGGGCGGATGTCTGGGTCCGTGGGCTACGGTACGGCGCATGACTGAGCATTTTCTTAGGGTGGAGCGCTCAGGGTGAAGTCCACACGAGCTTTTGCGCCTCGAAAACCAATCCGTCTGTGATTCACATTTTGCACATGACAATCCATCGAAACGGCACTTCAGATTTCACACTTTACCCTCCACCGCCAAAAAATGCTCGACATGAGGGCGTCAACCCGACTGCCCCCAGCCGCCCAGCCGCTGCGCGGCGCCGTGGCCGGGAAGGTGCGGGTGGGCCCTTTCCCCCTGCCTGGGTTGTGTGGGGATGTTGTGTGGGGGGGGGGTCCCCCCCGGTTCGTAAACGTCCGGGACGTTTCGGGGGTGTGGGGGGGGGCGGTTTAAGACTCGATTCTCCCCACCTCCCCTTCCAGCGACGGCAGGACGCGCTCTTTCCCATGTAGTCCCCTCCGCTCTGCTTCAGCATGGTGTAGGCCCAGGTCTGGACGGTCAGGCCGAGAGAGAGACACACCTGCACCACCGCCGAGACTTTCCCGATGTCCTTCTTCGGGAAGCCTTCCAGGGGCGCAAAACAGCCGATGACATTGTAGAAGGATGCAGCAAAGCCAAAGAGCATGTACGAGAAACTAAGGCCGCCCATGGTGCCGATAAAAGCTGGAAAGGTGCTGGTCCACATGAGCTGTAAAACGACGGGGGAGATGCCACACAGCGTCCCGACGGCCATGGCCACCGCGGGGCCCACCCGATCGTAGCAGAGGCCTGGGATGAAGGAGAGGGCGCACGAGCCAAAGTTCATCCAAGCGTACAGCTCGTCGCCCTGCTCGGGGGTGAGCCCGTAGTACGGCTCGAGGTCACCAGCGATGACGCCGAACACCGTGGTCAGGCCGTACTGCACGACGCCGAGGATGCACACCGACAGCAGAAGCGCGCGCCGGACGGTGAACAGCGGCAGGCCCAGCACGACGGAAGCTGTGCGGTCCCGCATGGCCGTCGGCCAGCCGCAGCGCTGCCGCGCAAACCGCCTGCACGGATCGCCACAGAGCGCCAGACCATCTTGCGCCCAAATGGCGGCACGTGCTGGTGATGCCTTCTCCCTTCCCCGCTGTCCGTGTCTCTCGAGCTCCCTCATCCCCACTCCTCCTCCACTCTCGTCCTCCCTCGTCCCCCTCGTCCCCCGCGGAGGTCCTCCACCCCCCTCCACCTCCTCGCTCTGCTCCTTCGCCGCCGCCTCTGCCTCCTGCCTCTCCTCCTCGTCCTCATCCTCGCCCTGCTCTTCCCATCTCCTACCCGTCGCCCTCCTTTGGCAGCGCCCGTCGTCGTCGCCCTCCTCTTTCGGCGGAGAAGAAACGCTGTAAACATAAACTTTTGGGGCGCTCCGCGCGGATTTCTTGGATCCGCGCTGGGAGCGGCGTTATTTCTCCTTCGACTCCTGCTCGTCCACCGCCTCCCCGTCCACCGGCTCATTCTCACCTCCTCCCCGTCCGCCTCGCCCTCCGTCGCGATGGCGGGCGGCGCCTGGAGACTGGGCCCACGAGCGGGGCCCTTGCGCCCCGAAACCATCACTGCTCTTAGGTCGGGCGTGTCCTCCTCCAGGCGGTTTTTGAAGAAACGGCCCAAAATATCCCCAAATATTCAGAACAAGAAAGAACAAACAATATTGTCAAAACATCGCCCCCTGACTTTTTTGACTGTGTTTGAATTCTCCTCCTGTGGAGGGACACACCCGACCGAACACTGCTCCCCCAAGACCGGCCCTTTGTCCTGAGTCGGCTCTTGACGGCCCCAGGTCCCAGAGCAGGCCCGAGGTGGCCCGCAAACGGCACGCCTTAAAAAAATGATGGACCCACGAACCCGGAAAGGGATAAAGACATGTGCAGCATGGTCACGTTTTCACGATACCCAACTGGGCGACATCTCACGAAACATCCAACGAGACACCCCGCGAAACATCCCACGAGACACCTCACGAAACATTCCACGAGACACCTCACGAAACATTCCACGAGACACCCCGTGAAACATTCCACGAGACACCCCACGAACAGGCAACCACTCAACCAGACACGCCTCGAAACATTCCACGGGGGTGCGACTGGGTGTGGTCGTGCTGGGGTGTGGTCGTGCTGGGGTGTGGTCGTGCTGGGGAGTGGTCGTGCTGGGGTGTGGTCGTGCTGGGGTGTGGTCGTGCTGGGGGGTGGTCGTGCTGGGGGGGTGGTCGTGATGGGGGGTGGTCGTGCTGGGGCGTGGTCGTGCTGGGGCGTGGTCGTGCTGGGGAGTGGTCGTGCTGGGGTTGGTAGTGCTTGGTGTGGTGTGTGGGTAGTGGTTTCGTGATGGGGTGTGGTGGTCTTGCTGGGGTAGGTACGTGATGGGGTAGGGTATGTGTGGGGGCTTCGGGTCGTGCTGGGGTTTGGTCGTGATGGGGTGGGGTCGTGCTGGGGTGGGGTCGTGCTGGGGTCTGGTCGTGCTGGGGTGTGGTCGTGCTGGGGTATGGTCGTGCTAGGGTGGGGTCGTGCATTTCGCTCGAGACATCCTGCCAAAATCCCAGGAAATCGTACAAAAACAAAGGAATTAGTCGAGACATCATCGAAATTCCTTCGCGCGGGGCGCTTTTCCGCGTCGCGGTCGGCTCTGCAAAACAAGCGTTTCGCTCGAGACATCCTCGGCAAACTCTGCGGAGCAAGCGTTTCGCTCGAGACATCCTCAACACACGAAAAAGTGGCCCGCACCCTGTGTTTTATCGATCGGGATTTCAAAAACAAGCGTTTCGCTCGAGACATCCTCAAATTTTAATTCGCCGGCCTCCTTCGACATCGTTATTTATCAGGGAAAAAATTCGCCGGCCTCCCTCAAGCAGGCACCGGGGGACAGGTTTACCTACTAAAAGAGAACCCTGGGCCGATGCCCTTTCCGGGGAAGAAAAACTTGATGGACACGAACCCGGAAAGGGATATACGGGTCATTGTGGAGTGCATGGTCACGTTTTCATGATACCAAAAATGGGCAAACACCTCACGAAACATCCCACGAGACACTCTCGAAACGAAACACGAGAAAACCTCACGTACTATTGCTTCTTTGTTGTACCTTAACGAACATTTCAACCGAGTAACCCCCGCGTAACATCAAACGAGACACCACACCCCACGAAACATTCTCGACGACAGGAACCACTCAACCCAAGGCGGTTGTGGTAGTGTTTGATGGGGAGTTGAGTCGTGATGGGTGTGGTCGTGTCCTGGGGGTGGTCGTGCCGGGGGGTGGTCGTGCTGGGGGCGTGGTCGTGCTGGGGGGTGGTCGTGCTGGGGCGTGGTCGTGCTGGGGCGTGGTCGTGCTGGGGCGTGGTCGTGCTGGGGCGTGGTCGTGCTGGGGCGTGGTCGTGCTGGGGTGTGGTCGTGCTGTGGTTAGGTCGTGCTGGGGTGCGGTCGTGCTGGGGTGTGGTCTTGCTGGGGTGGGGTCGTGCTGGGGTGTGATCGTGCTGGGGTGGGGACGTGCTGGGGTGTGGTCGTGCTGGGGTGTGGTCGTGCTAGGGTGGGGTCGTGCTGGGGTGGGGTCGTGCTGGGGAGTGGTCGTGCTGGGGGGTGGTCGTGCTGGGGTGTGGTCGTGCTGGGGCGTGGTCGTGCTGGGGTGGGGTCGTGCTGGGGTGGGGTCGTGCTGGGGTGGGTTCGTGCTGGGGTGCTCCGCACCCTGTGATTTATCGATCGGGTCGTGCTGGGGTGTGGTCGTGCTGGGGTGTGGTCGTGCTGGGGTGTGGTCGTGCTGGGGTGTGGTCGTGCTGGGGTGTGGTCGTGCTGGGGCGTGGTCGTGCTGGGCGTGGTCGTGCTGGGGTGTGGTCATGCTGGGGATGTGGTCGTGCTGCGGGGGTGGGGTGCTGGGGGGGTCGTGCTGGGGCCGTGGGTCGTGCTGGGCATGTGCGTCGTGTGGGGCAGTGGTCGTGCTGGGCGTGTAGTGGTCGTGCTGTGGTGAGGTCGTGCTGGGGGGGGGGGGTCTTCTGTGGGTCGTGCTGGGTAGTGGGTCTGCTGGTGGTAGAAGGGTAGTGCTGGGGGGGTGTGGTCGTGCTGTGGTGAGGTCGTGCTGGGGTGTGGTCGTGCTGGGGTGTGGTCTTGCTGGGGTAGGGTCGTGCTGGGGTCGGGTCGTGCTGGGGTGTGGTCGTGCTGGGTATGGTCGTGCTGGGGTGGGGTCGTGCTGGGGTGGGGTCGTGCTGGGGTCTGGTCGTGCTGGGGTGTGGTCGTGCCACCCCGCGAAACATCCCACGAGACACCTCACGAAACATTCCACGAGACACCTCACGAAACATTCCACGAGACACCCTTTGAAACATTCCACGAGACACACCACGAAACCAGGCAACAACTCAACAAGACACGCCACGGAATCATTCCACGGGGGTGCAGACCTGGGTGTGGTCGTGCTGGGGTGTGGTCGGTGCATGGGGGTGGTCGTGCTGGGGTGTGGTCGGGCTGGGGGGGTGGTCGTGCTGGGGGGTGGTTGTGCGGGGGCGTGGTCGTGCTGGGGCGTGGTCGTGCTGGGGCGTGGTCGTGCTGGGGTGTGGTCGTGCTGTGGTGAGGTCGTGCTGGGGTGTGGTCGTGCTGGGGTGTGGTCTTGCTGGGGCGTGCTCGTGCTGCGGTCGGGTCGTGATGGGGTGTGGTCGTGCTGGGGTATGGTCGTGCTGGGGTGGGGTCGTGCTGGGGTGGGGTCGTGCTGGGGTCTGGTCGTGCTGGGGTGTGGTCGTGCAGGGGTATGGTCGTGCTAGGGTGGGGTCGTGCATTTCGCTCGAGACATCCTGCCAAAATTCCAGGAAATCGTACAAAAACAAACGAATTAGTCGAGACATCATCGAAATTCCTTGCGCGGGGCGCTTTTCCGCGTCGCGGTCGGCTCTGCAAAACAAGCGTTTCGCTCGAGACATCCTCGGCAAACTCTGCGGAGCAAGCGTTTCGCTCGAGACATCCTCAACACACGAAAAAGTGGCCCGCACCCTGTGATTTTTCGATCGGGATTTCAAAAACAAGCGTTTCGCTCGAGACATCCTCAAATTTTAATTCGCCGGCCTCCTTCGACCTCGTTATTTATCAGGGAAAAAATTCGCCGGCCTCCCTCAAGTTGGCACCGGGGGACAGGTTTACCTACTAAAAGAGAACCCTGGGCCCATGCCCTTTCCGGGAACATCAGGACCCGCTTCCCGCAGGCCCGGCCTGTTTCAGGCTGCGACTCTTCCACCTGAGCCTACGAGGAGGAGGAGGAGGAGGAGGAGGAGGAGGAGGAGGAGGAGGGGGAGGAGGAGGACGAGGAGGAGGACGAGGAGGAGGGGGAGGAGCTCTCGCCGGTGCGGCCTGTTTCAGGCAGGCACTGATCCACCGCCTGGGGACTCGATGTCCTGGGACCCTACTGGGCGGTGGATCTGAGCAGCGCGCGCCAGCCCAAGTTTGTCGATGCTGGCGGCGTTGCTCGCTCGGGCGACGGCGGAATGAGGGGGTTCAGGGCCGCAGGTCTAGCCAAGATCGGCCCATTCTCCCAAAACGCAGGCCGCGGCATTTCCAATGGGGTTTTCTCTGGCCGAAGTTTCTCTCCCGCACCAATTACGGACACATGGTTGCCCCAGGCGGTCCCGACAGAATACATCAGCATCCACCGCCTGGCGAGGCCTAGGAAAATCAGCTTCCACAAGGCGATCGACATGGACAAGTTCTATAAGACAATCGAGATCGACAAGCTTGAGTATAGTGTGTGTATATATACAGAGAGAGACAGAGAGAATGAGAACATGATGGACCCACGAACCCGGAAAGGGATAAAGACATGTGCAGCATGGTCACGTTTTCACGATACCCAACTGGGCGACATCTCACGAAACATCCCACGAGACACCCCGCGAAACATCCCACGAGACACCTCACGAAACATTCCACGAGACACCTCACGAAACATTCCACGAGACACCCCGTGAAACATTCCACGAGACACCCCACGAACAGGCACCCACTCAAC